TTATGTTGGCTGAAGCTACTAATTTTGTACTAACATGGCAGCAAATAGAAAGCTAATATGCCCACTTAGGTGACACACCCCATGTGGAAAAAAGCACTGGCAGAGAAATGTGCTGGCAGAAAACATGAATCTCTGTGTCTCCTGCACTCGGGAAGCTGAGGACCCAGAAAGTCTCACATGCTCTGCTGGATGGTGAAAAGGCAGGTTCCCAGTGAGTCAGTGAACCAGAGAAAGTCTGAAGGTTAAAGGAAAAAACCCAATGGCTACTAGGAATAAGTGACACAGACTTTGGACTTTACCTCAGGGTCCGGGAAGGGTGACCAAGCAATGAGATGAGACCTGCCTTTACTCAGGAGACACCAAACCAAGGGTCTTATGAACCAGTTTAGACTAGCCTCCTGATGGTGAAGACCTGAAATAACTAAGAGAAAACCCATGGTCCCTCTTCCCCCACTGCTCCAAAGCCACATAAGTCTCCTCCAACCTCCATACTCCATTTTCGGAACAGGATAGGAAGGTCATTAACCAAAATTTTTTCTTTCTTAAAGATTTGTGTTTAAATTTGTGCCCCATATTTCCACTAATACAGGTTCAATCATATACATTGGTATTTCCATCTTTGTGGAGTTGCTTAATAGAAACTAGATCATATAAAATGTCTGAGCAGACCCAGATGATCCTTGGAGAAAAGTAAGTTTTGCTCATTTTTCACCAAGATATTAGATAAAATCCAATTATAATTTTCTATATAATACCTGACTGAGAATATCAAAAAAAAAGAAGAAGAAAATGGAGGAGAAGGAAGCAGATGGGGGAGAAAAGAAGGAATGAAAGAGAAAAACCTTTTGAGACTTTCCAGTGTGTCAAGTGCCATGCTATGCACTTTAATGCAGCCTTCATATAATTCCCACTGAAAATTTGAATATATAGCTCATTGTTACAATTTCATGAACAAGATGAGATAGACATTTGTCCACCTCACACTATGGACCTCTCAATATGACAGTGTTGATTCTAGTAGAGTTATGGTGTTTATTCTTACAAAATAAAAGAGTATGCAATTTATACATGAAAACATATAGATATTAATTCAGTAGAGAATGGGGAGATGGTAAAAATAAAGACAATTTGATTCTTCTTTTTTAATAAAAATGTCCCCAGGAAAATCATTAAGATTCTCAAAGAATGTTCCTCAAATATCTGAATCCAAAGCCTCTTGATGCCATGGCTCACCTTCCTCTGTCACTCACAGTCTATATCCCTGATGTGAAAAAGAAACATCCAGAGTAGGAAAAGGGCATATTGTACAAATTCAGATGGCACAGGTCCTAAACTCACCCCCAGAGTTAAAGAGTCCTCTGGATAATTTTTCATTGAATTGGAAACTGCCTTAGCATATGCCTTTCCTAACTACTACTGGAAGGTTCAGGTGGTCTCATTATCACAAGCAAACTCAATGAGATGATTACTTAGAAATAGATTAATGGAATTCACGCACACACACACACACACACACAGACAATGTATTAACTGAAAACTCTCAAAGATGTATCAAGGAATTGATTACATTTCAGGCACACAAAGAACCTGCAAATCCTCTTCACACTCAACTCAAACCACCTTGGATGTGATCTTCCAGCTCTCACTGCTTCAGCACAACCAAAATGTCTATGTGAATCTTGGGCACTCTACTTTCCTTTTGACTTCCTCTCTCCTCCTACCTCATCCTTTCTTCTCTGGTTTGTTCTCTACCCTTTCTTGGGTAAATAATATTAAACTCTCCAGGTTTCTCCTTTTATGATCTTCACACATTTTAAAAACAACAACAACAACAAAGACCAAGCCCAACAGGCAAAGCAAAATTCTCTTAAAATCAGAGAAAAGTGTTGTAATCAATATAAATTGCATTGTGTTCCTGTAACACAAACACAAACACAGACTTTGCATATAATTTCAAGTGGTTCTCAGATCCCCTAGCATCCTGGACCCCAAATTCTGAACACCAGAAACTCATTTCTCAGCAACCTAGATGCTTAGAAGAAACCAAACTAGGACAGTGAGTCAGAGTAGGAGGTGGCTGAGAGAAGACCAATATCCAGAGGACCATGAAGAAACAAGAAAACCAAACATGGACCCAAACGATAAAAATCCAGGGTAAAGGGAATAGAGAATCAAGGCCCCACATTAGGAAGATGTAAGTCCTAAGCTGTCAAATATGATTTCTGAAATTTCATGGAGACCAGCAATTCCTATCCACAGTTCCAACCTGCTCCATCCAGGCTCTGCCCACAACTGAACTCTCCAGTGTCACTGCACCAACAACAAATACCAGTCAAACACAATGTTTTCAGAGGGTGCATTTAACCCTAACCTGCAGGGGAGGATGAGCCTAGAACAGGTTCACTCCTCACACCACAACATGAAAAAACAAAATTAAAATTAAATAAGACATTAGGGAAATTACCAAAAATGAAGAATAATTTAGGGCTGAAGTTGTGGCTCAGAAGTAGAGTGCTCCCCTACCTGCGTGAGGCACTAGGTTCAATTCTCAGCACCACATAAAAATAAAATAAAGGTATTGAGTCCACCTACAACTAAAAAAAAAATTGTTTTAATGAAGAATGATTAAAAGACAGGAATGTGATATGAGTTCTGTGATCCAATCCAGGGAGAAGTCCCTGTGGTCTTCCAATGCAATTATCTTTTACAATTATCTTTTCTCCTTTTAGGAGAATTTTGCTTTCCTATTGTACTTGGCTTTGGTTAGATTGGACATGGGGCAGATTAATGTGTAAGGATTATAGGGAAAAAAAAAACAAGAGAAGTTAATAGTATTTACTGGGAAGGTGAAAAACAGATTAGACAAGAGAGCAGGAAACCTAATCCCATCCTGGGTAGAGGCCACTGACACAGAAGGGCAGAGGAGGATCCTGGAGGAGGGAAGGCCAAGGACACATCAGAGTCACTTACCTGCATACAGGGGGGCCTTCCTCCAGGCTGAAAGGGAACACACAGTGGTGAGACCACAGCTAAAACAAGCCTGCTCAGCATGAATGTACCTGCCCTGGCCTCCTCTCCATTCTAAAGATGGGACTACCCACAGGAGGAGAGAGCCAGAAAGTAGATGGGCTCTTGCAGTATCAGAGTCCACAGGGTATTGTGGGAAATCCCCTGGACCACAGATCAAGACGGCTGCTTTACAGGCCAACTACTACCACTGTCCCACTGCTTTCTCTCTGTCAGAAAACTGTCTGCCTCAAAACTCATAAAAATCCATATTCTATCTGTCTTTATTCAGTTTTGCCACTAAGGATCAAAATTACACTATGTGTGAAAATATTTGAGAGAATAAATATAATTCATTCCACAATTGTGAGGGGTATTATTATATCCAGGTTTTCTCAAGAAAAGATACATTTGAGGAAGGGGTGGGGATGTACATCATGGTAGAGGGATGGCCTAGCATGCACGAGGTTCCAGGTTCATGCCTCCGCACCACAAAATGAAAAAATAAAATTAAAAAAGACACTTGGGAAATTGCCAAAAATGAAGAATGATTTAAAGACAGGAATGAGTTCTTCAGTAAAACTGCCCAACTTTTCACATGTGAAATATTTCCAGAGAATAAGAACCACTTTTTAGGAAGTACTTGGTTCACTCCATCACTTTCCCACCTGTGGTGAGCAGCCTTCTTGGATTAGCACCTTCGGGAGCTGGAGAAAATATAATCCCTCACTGATGATTTGTTGGGAGATGAACAGAAGGCCATACTCCTAAACTTAATGACTCCATTTACTTATATAGATCATTTAATGATCTTAATATCTGCCTTTAATCTTCTAGGTGCAATCCAACTGCTAGATGCATTGAAGACTGATATATATATATATATATATATATATATATATATATATATATATATATATATATATGGCAATCCAGGGTTGAAATAAGATGCAGAATACATGACAGACCACAGGTCACCATCAAACTCAGGTTTCCACATGCTAGATAGGAAATAGTAGACCAGATCAAGGAAAGGCCAGGGACCAGTGTACTGGCATCCACTAGCTTCCCAGGGATAAGGCCCCACATGTCTGTGCCTAGACAGAAACAAGGAGAAGGGACACCATAACACAGGTTGGATAAGGAAACAAGGAATAAATGGAGGGAGAGTCACTTACCAGAGAGATAAGCAGCTTTCCTCTGATCTGAAAAACAACAAGAAATAGGGGAGCTAGGAACTAGAACATCTGCTACCAAGGAAACAGAAAATTCAGAAGGGAAAGCAGAACTTACTGAGATCTGCCTTGAGTTCATCTGAAAGAAAATGAAAAACAGTGTGAACGCCCATCCCCAAGAAAAGGAAAGACTGAGTGCCTGAAAAACCTAAGGAAAACATTTCTGTTCACTAGAATTTCTAACTACAAACCCACTCAACCCCACCAGTCTCTAGCTGTCCTCTCTGATCTCCTCAGTCACCTCCTCTGAGTCCAGGACCCTGGATCTCCCTAGAGAGCTGGACTCGGACTCTGGCCCCCGTCAGCTGTCCCACTCACCACCAGGTCTGCACTTGCCCTTTGTGGTCTTACCAATGGTCTTCAGCACCTCTTCCTTTGCCTGCTGTTCCTGCTTCTTAAGCCGCTGCTGATGCTCCTTTTCCTGCCTCACCTGCATCCTTCTGGAATGTGCTTTTCTGATAAAATAGCAAGCCCCCAAGAGTAGGAGCCCCAGCATGGTCAGGATCACAGCAAATGCTGGCTTCCAGGGAGAAGCCTGAGGGAAGAAGGGCTCTGTGGCCCAGGCAGACAGCAGGTCAGGGACACACCCAGGAGAGCCAGCTCACTCAGAGAGGCCAGCCCTCCCCACAGCTCTGCTGGGAGTGGGAAGCAGCACTGACCTGGGATGTAAATAGCCATGGCCTTCTCCTGGCCCAGGACAGGGTTGAGGACAGAGCAGGTCACATTCCCCACAGAACTGTCTCTCACCACCAGAGTGGCCTCCACACTAAACAGCTCCTCAGTGTCTTGGGAGTGGGTTTCAGAAAGCGCTGGGAACTTGTTTCCACTGAGGTCTCTCCACTGCACCTGGGGCTTTGGGAACCATCCTGAGGCTTTGCACACCAAGCGCACTCCATCCTCTTCTGGCCCTTCTATGTGCACTTGGGGGTCAGAGCCCATACCTGTGGGAAGGAAGCTGTGTAGCCCCAGGAGGCCACCTTGGGCTCTGAGACCCCAGAGTTGCCAAGACATTACATAACTTCAGGGGGAAGGTTTTCATGTTCAATTCTGGGAATTCTACGGAAAGACGGAATAAATGGAAGGAGCACAGGGACCCACACAGGGCAGTAGGCTCTTGTCCCCAGCTGTGATGCCCAAAGAAAAAAACAGGAAGAATTTTGTCCCAGGGCTCCCTCCTTGGATCTCAGTCTTCTCACCTCACACACTCTCCTGGGACATCACCCTCTCTGTGTATATCATGTCCAAAATCGTATTCAGTGACCACCTTGACTCCTGAATTATCTTACCCTCCACCCATGTCCCTATGAGTTATCTTTACCAGGTTTCCTCACATACACTTCAAACTCAAATTCAGAACTGAATTCATTAATTTGCACCACTTGTGATAAAATGATTATTAAAATAATCCAATACTTCACCCTTCTTTATAGTCAGTTCTAGAAATTCCACTTAATTTTTTACTGCCTTTACCTTCTGCCCCTGGGCCCAGTAATGGATTCAATTTGGCAATGAAAAATTAGCAAAAATGACTAATGAACCATGGTTTATTCCCTCTGCCATTTCCACAGGAGGACAATCCTGGTCTACCCAGTTGAGGATGGACTCATGTAACATTGCCTGGTCAACCTGCTACTGCTGCCCTAGGTCAGCCACATGACCACCTGAAACATCAGCACACCCAACCAAGGTGCACCTGGTGAACTTTTCTGCTAACTTAAGAACAAATAAAAATTACAAGTAAAAAGTTTAATTCTCCCTGTTAATAAAATAAGATTCTCTTCCTTTTTCTTATACCATTTGCTTTAGGAAATTGCAATTACAAATAGATACTTCCTTCTCTTTTGAAATTTTTATACATGATTTTGAAAACTAGTTAGGTTTTTTGCCAGCTTTGTGGCTCAGGAATGACTTTCTCAAGAACCTGGGAACCATTTCTTTGAAATGTAAACATCAGGGAAGATAGCAACCCTTTGCCCCCTTTTCTGTGGAAAGGTAGGAGCCTAACTTATGTGGGCATCTTGATCCAAGTTGTAAAACTGCTTCCTGTCATAAAGCTGGAGGAGTTCATTTTGCTTCCAGATAAAGCCTAATAGATTACACAGATGATCTCCCAAACTACCATGTAAATTTAGGATGAGTTATGTGGAACAATAGTTCTTTGAGCCCTCTTAATTGAGGATTAGTTATTCTTCGTTTTCAAAATAAGTATACAGGAGATTATATATGCTTCACTCTAAAAACAAAGATGAAATTCCTTTCAAGTTGTGTGATCCATTCACAGATCACCATAATATGTATCACAATCTGGTTTGTTGCTTATTCAGTAATAAAAGTGTTTTCTCCTAGCATGGAAGATTTTGTTTTTAATTCCATTTCTGAAACATGACCAAAGATGTATGAGTAAACCCAGGTGAGATTAGCCAAGTTCAGCCCCAATTAGTTGAACTCCCTTAGTGCCTGAATTAAATACATTTTTATTGCCAAATCACCTGAGATTGTGGCTGTTTGTTACACAGCATTATTACAGCAGTAGAACTGACACATAATTATCAATAGTCCTGCCATGAAACAACAATGGTTCAAATAAAACACTGGAAGTCTCTGAACACTTCTCTTCCCCTTCCAAACTTTGTGCCCACAAATCTGTTTAGTTGAATCTGGTTTCTAAACCTGTCTGACTCCTCCTCTCCCACCCCACTACCATGCCTCAGGTCAGGCAATCATTCTCTCCACATCACAAATGCACTCCAAGCCTCCTTCTTGCTCACCTCCCATTCATCCATTCAAACTGCCAACATGAGCATTCCCAGCTTGGCTCTGTTTAGGATTCCCCCTACTCTGCAACCAAACTCCATAACACAGCACAGAAAGCCTTTACTGATCCAGTAACTGTCTTCCTCTCTGAACACTTGTCCCCAAACTCCACCATCTGAGATCCTCAGAGCCCTTACACTCAACCCCAAGAACTATTTAGTCAAATGCAAGTAGCCACAATCACCATATTGTATGCCCTCTGCCATTTTACATTCCAGCCCATCAACATCCAGGGCTCTTGTGCCAGCCCAGGTGTCTACTCCTAATGACCTCATCCTGACACCTGACAGTGGTGTTAATACAGGACCATCTCTTTATTCCAGTATTGCCACTTCTTACCATCCTCTCTTCACTCCTCCTACCAACCATGATGGCCTCATTATACCCAGAATAATCAACCAAACTCCTACTTCAAAGGTTTCATAGCAGGTGCTCCCTCTGCATTAAACTCTGGCCCCACAGATATCCACCTGGCTAAATACCTACTTCCTTTGAGCCTTGTTTAGACTGTCAATAAGACTCTGCCCAATTCCCTATGTAACACTATGGATTGTCCTAAATTCCCAGCCCACATCCTGAGCCCCTTTCTTAAATCTACTTGGTCTTTTGTCTTAAGTACTTATCATCTTATGCCATCTTGTACTGAATTATTTCTTATAATTTTTCTTCCTTTGTCTCTAGAATGTAAACTCCTCATGGCTGGGATCTCTATTACACTGATATATCTCTGGTGCACAGGACAAGTCCCAAAATATTTTAGATGCTCCCTATACAGTGTTTGTATTGAATCAATTAATAAAAGATGAGCCACTTTTTTCTCCACTTCACCTATAAAATGTTAGGTTAAATTAGATGATCCTTGATATTCCCATCAAACCCAATATTCCCAAGGTCTCCAGAATAGACATCAAGTAACTAACCTGCCACCTTCACTTCCAAATCAGCCTCTTCATAGAAGCCTCCATGTCTGAAGAAGCAGGTGTACATTCCATTGTCAGAAACCCGGACCTGGCGGAGGTGCATGGCAGCATGCCCCTCAGTAAGGCAGCCCCTCACCAATGAAGTCCGCCCTCTGTACTCAGCCATCTGCTCCTCAGTCTGTTCCCAATGGTTCCAGTAGATGAACACTGTTTGTGAGAATGTGGTGCGGAACCACCCAAGTTCCATGTTCTCTGCATTCATGGCTGGAACTAGGGTGCAGGGAAGTATGACATCCTCACCCAGCACTGCCAAAATGGGGTGTCGAGGGCCAATGACCTGGAATTGCTCTGTGGGCACAGACATAGTGGGGAGAAAGCTAGAGAGACACAGACCAAAAAACGAGAACATACAACATCAGGTGGGAAGGCCAGGAAAGCCGGGGCAGGGGCCACATGAGATGACCCTAGAAGTCTGATGGATTTGGAAGAGGTCTTCTGATCATTATCATGTGGCCAGAAATAATGCCAAAGACACTCCCTCATTGTCTTCTGCTCCTGGTCCCAGGCCATCCCATGAAGAAATCTCTAATTCAGTGATTCTCAAACTTTCATGCACCAGAACCATAAGGCTGCCTTATAGAGCACACATCACTGGACTCCACTCCAGAGTGTCTCATCCACTAGATCTGGGGTGTGTGGGGGGGCAATGAATGTGCATTTGCAAGGAGTTCCAAGGGTGGTCTGAGGAGCACACATTGGGACCTGGGAACCCCAGGTCTAACAAACCCCTGTCTCAGGACAAACATGAAAACTGACAAAGAGCTCACATGCGGCCTGGGTCAGCACTCTTTGGTCATTCAGTCACACCCAGGAAATTCCCCTCTTCCTATTCTAAATTATTTACTTCAGTCTATATTTTTCTCCTCCACTGAGGGAGGAGAGAAATACATATGCACTTTAAAACACAGAGTCAAATGTTACTTACTGCTATGAAAATCCTGCTCTCATAATTCACGGAAACCCCCATCAATGCATGTTCAAGAAGCAGTTCAGGGCTGGGATGTGGCTCAAGCGGTAGCGCGCTCACCTGGCATGCGTGCGGCCCGGGTTCGATCCTCAGCACCACATACAAACAAAGATGTTGTGTCCGCCAAATACTAAAAAATAAATATTAAAAAATTCTCTATCTCTCTCACTCTCTCTTAAAAAAAAAAAAAAAAAAAAAGAAGCAGTTCACCTCACTCTCCACTCTTGGGACTCTTGGGCTTCTGAGGCTACCACATGACTCCTCTGCAGGACACGCTGCAATGGGCCTCCAAAGAGCTACTCTCAAATCCTGTACCTCTCCACTCTGGTCTCAGCCACCATTAAATCTCAACTGGAGAATGACTAGGATTCCTGACCTCAGTGATCCTTTTAACACGTGAGCTGATCCATGATGCTGCTCTGCTCAAAGCCTCCACATGGCTCCCCACTTCTCCCCAGGCCTGTCTAGTTTGACCCTCCTTCCCAAGACCCCTCTGAACTCACCTGCTGCTTCTCTCTCCATGGGCTCTAGTCCAGCAACACTGGCCTCTGAGCTTCCTCACACCTCAGCACACTGCCAGCTCTGTACAGGCTCCTCCCCCTGCAGGAACCCTCCTTCCAAATGGTCCTACAGCTCACTTCTCCTTCTCCAGGGTTATGTTCCCATCTACACACCACCTCACTGAACAGTGCTGCCTGCCCACACCTGCCTCCCATGCCCCGGACTGTCCACACCCTGCCCTGCTGCATTTCCCATAGTTTTCCAACACTCTTAGGCCTCTCTGCCTAGTTGCAGTTATTACTCACTCTCTCCTGCTAGAAGACAAACTGTATGACAGAATTTGTGTCTGATTCTTTCATAGAATAGCACCTACCAATCAACATTTCATTAATATTTCAGGAATAAAATGAATGAATGAAAGCTCGCAGCACCAAAAAAAAAGCCAAGAAAACAAAAAAAAAAATGAGGAAAATGTATTTTCAAATGTTTTTCTATCTTGATTTTTAAAACCACAAAGGAAAACAGATGGGGACACTCACCTGTGGACAGCTGGACAAGGAGAAGCAGGGAAGCGAGACAGCAGAGCAAGGAGCGACTGCAGTGCCCTTCCATATCTTTAGAGCTGGGGAGAGAGATGGGGATGAGGGCCGAGACCTGCAGGCAGGAGGCAGGTCCAGCCCAGAGCTCCAGCACCTCAGCATAGAGAGCAGGGCTCAGGGCTGGACAGCAGTCCCCTGCTGGAGCAAAGCATTTCCTATTGGTTCATCATACTAACAGGGTGGTGGGCCCCCCACTACCCTGACACTATCAAATAGCTGAGCCTGGGCTCCTTCCAGCTCTTGTGGGAAGACTGTGGTATCAGGAAACCATAGAATTACCTGGTAAGAAACTGTTCCTATTAGTACAAGCATGAGTGTTCACATGTGTACACACACACACACACACATACACACATACACACACACAGAGAGAGAGAGAGAGAGAGAGAGAGAGAGAGAGAGAGAGAGAGAAAGGGGTAGAAACTTAAATAAATGCAGGTATGGATGCATATAGGTGAGTCAGCCTACCACATGTTTCTAGCTTGGAAAAACAAGTAGTTCCAGAAAAAATGACACTCTAGTAGCCACAAGCATACGGAGCATTAATGTAGTTGTTTTTAAATATCCTTTTCCAATTAAAAAAATACTGGGATCTCTGAAAAACAGCCTGATGATAGGACTGAAGCAAGATAAACATAAATTACATTTGGAGCATATCATAGTAGCAGATTGGGAGAAAGTGCTCAGACATATAGTTAAGCAAATATATCACCAAAGGTGTGTGTGTGTGGGGGGGGGGGGGTTGAAAATCAAAGAAAAGGAAGAAAAAGAGAATGGGACCTAGTCACTAGGAAAGACTCACCAACCAGAAAGAGCTTCTAATAGCCAAGGCTTGAGCCATCAAATAAAAAAGCCATAATAAAAAGAATAAAATTACTAAGAAAATACTTTTTATATTTTATTTGGATTGTAGTTCCTCAAATAAAATCTGAGTTTGTATTATTATAAATAAATGGATAATTAAATTAATGGGAGCATTTTTTTCTTTACACAAGACTTCTAATAAGGAGAATGAAAACCCACCAGTTCAATATTTAGAAAAAAATTACTGCAGGAAAGATCAATGAAGAAATGCAAAAGGAGGAGCAACTTCAAAGAAAAACAGGATATTAAAAAAAAGAAAAGAAAGAAAGAAACCGTTCCTTCCTTTCCCACCCCAACCACAGCTTACTTGACCCAGAACACCAGGCTCTTTCTCTATATATACCTGGAGCTCTGTGGTGGAAGGCATTCCTCTATCTCTCTGTTATTCACATACCACTCATGACCCCCCAGAAAGGAGGGCCCAGACCCAGGGTTCCCATTATGAAAATCATGCAAACTCCTGCTTGCCTCTTCTCCTGCCCCATAATTATGCCCAGGTTTGGCCTGGGCAGTGTCAGAGACAGACATGCCCTCAAGGAGGCTGTGGTGCCCATCACAGGAGCCCAGAACCCTGTCCTGCTTTCTTAGATGTGGAGTTCCCCTAAACCTGAATCTCAGCCCAGTCCCTTCCGCTGCGGGCTCAGATATGGCGCTTCATTTAGAAGGTGCCAAGCACTTCCCCCACCAACAGGTTTGTCCTTGCCTTCTTTTTCTTTGAGAGGTTAGGGACCCTTCCTGAGAGGTTAGGGACCCTTCCTGGAGACAAAGCATAGAGATAATGAGCCCTGGTCAGAGAAAAGACCCCAAATCACCTACAATTTGGAAGGACCAGGGAGAAGACAGTCTGTGGTATTGGGAAGAACAAATTCTGGGAGCCGACTTCAAGGCTGCCCTCCAGGCTCAGCCACTCTCACCGTGACCTTCTTGGCCTCAGTTTCCTTGACTGTCTGATGGACATAGTCACAACATCTACCTCCCAAGTTTGTAATGAAAATTATGTGATTTATAGTCACTACATGTAATTAAAACAGGGCCTGGTCCAAGAAAATGTTAAAGAAATGTCATTATAGCAAATGAATAAAGGAACAACCCTCATTAAGCTTCTCCTGGGTCTTCCTAGAACAAGACTGTTCCACCTACTCCCCCACACTGCCTCTCACACCACCTCATCCTCTGCTCCTTCCTGCCACCAGCTTCTCCCTAGATTCCTCCTCTTAGGTCACAGGTGTCTTCAAAGCCAACTTACCTTCTTCTCTGTTCTCCCACCTATGAAAGGCTGTGACTTCCTGGAGCATCTCTAAACACAGAGCTGGAGAAATTTCAGAGTCAAAAGGACCCCAGAAGACCACAAATAATGCCCTCAGAATTTACACCTGCCCCAAGCTGCTCACATAACCCAGTCCTCTGCCTCTGAGTCCAATGCTGGGGCCACAAATTCCTCATCTCCTAGAGGCAGTTGGTTCCCAGGAAAGGGACAAAGCAGAGCCGGACATAAGTTGCAGTGATCTCTGCAGAGTCTCTGACACCGGGGTCCCCACTAAGCCCTCCCAGTCAGAGGAGCAACCACTCACTCACTCCTTTCCACCATCTAAAGCGAAAGCTTGCAAAAGGAGCCTGGGCAGAGTGTACCCTGCCCTCTGGACATTGCACCCTTTACCAGGAAGAAGGAAGCAGAGTAGAGCAGCAAAAAGAGAGTGCCCACCATTTTCCTGGAACACTGCAGAACAAGCTCAGAATGCCACCACCAATCCCTGCCCAAAGGTCAGACTCCCTAAAACCTAGAGATGTTAGGGACATGTTACAAAAAGAAGAAAACAAAATTATACTGAATCCCTATCAAGAATTGTGCTACATAAATTTTACTAATGCCATCTCATTATCACAACTGCAGAGATAAAGCCATGAGCCCCGCCATCTGGTAACATCAATCTAGTAACTTCCTAGATGAAGGAGAGCCTAGATGTGCCAGGAGACTGCCTCCCACCACCACATCTCCAGCCCAGCTCAGCCCCCTGCCCCAGGTAACTCAAGTGAGCAAGATCCTGAAAGAGACCTTGGACTCTCAGTTGCCTCAATTACATGACCAGAAAGCTTATCTCACCCAGACCTGAGCATTCTCCCTCCCAAAGTTGCCCTTTGCCCTTCCATTTGGGGAGGAAGGGATGGAAGTAGTGACAAAGAGCAGGTCAGGTCTCCTTAAAGAACACTGGCAGAATCCTTGAACAGCACTGGCAGGGGACACAGAACCTCAGCACTATCCTCTCCCAGCTCATCAGGATCACTGTTCAGCTGCTTCGACAAGAATCACCATTCACTGAACCACAAATAATTTTTCTTGTATAAACATAAATTATCCTACTATTAATGAGGTTAATATGTACTGTCTTTTATAACCAAAATGTAGTCTTATCTTTTACCTGTAGCAAGTACTTTCTAAATAGCTTCAGATAAATGCCTAAACCACAAACAACAGTTAATGTAAAATGTATGAAATGCATTGGAATTCTAAAAATGTGAGAGTTGATGTAAAGTACTTCACTCACCCAACCCCCCACCCCATTCTGTTCATACTGGGGATTGAACTCATGTTAGGAAAGCCCCCTGCCTCTGAACCATATCCCTAGCCCTTTAACCCCTTTTCTTAGAATACAGGACCATCTCTTTATCTTGACACTGCTAAGATGAGTTCACTAGGTTACCTTCTACTGTAGGAAAAGGTTTAAAGAACTGTTTTCTGGCTACTTATTTCTAGAAAAAAAAATGAAAAGGAAAAAGACACACAAGTTGGTGAATTTTGTTTCAGTTCCAAAATATCCCTCCAATCTCTATCCAGCATAAACCTGGCTGATGGGCTGCCCTGTGACCTGGCAGCCCACTGAGTAGAATCCCAGTGGTGTGGCTGTGCAAGCCCCTTCTTCTGAGTCTGCCCATCTGCCTCTCCGGTGGGGAGACCCCTCCCAGGTGAGGCTGTCACCTCCGAAACTGAATATCCAATTAGAAGTGGCTGAGAGACCTCCTTATTCCTCTCACTCTCTTAGTGGAGCCAGGCCTTGGCCCAGCCCCACGCTGAATTCACCAATGAGCCCTCCTGGCTGGGGCACCTGCCCCACCACTCTGCATGAGCAATCCACCCCCTTCCTCATCTGAGATTCCAGGGAGGTAAAGTATCCCTCCCACTCAAGCCCTGAGATAGAAAAGGATAAAGGAGTGAGGCCAGAGAAACAAAAATTGTACATTCCTATAGAAAATTTAATGAATTATATTAACTAATAAAAAATAAATAAATAAATAAAAATTTACAAGTAAAGACAGCAGATTGAGAGAAAGCTGGCATAAAAAGGAAGGAGCAGGGCTGTGGGTGTGGCTCAGTGGTAGAGCTCTTGCCCAGCACATGTGAGGCACTGGGTTCGATCCTCTGCACCATCCAAAAATAAATAAAATGCAGATATTGTTTCTATCTACAACTAAGAATTTTTTTAAAAAAGGACAAAAAGTGAAGCCAGGAAAGAGGGATAAGGCCTTCTTGGCATTCGGTCCCAACCTATAAGAAGATGAGACACCAGAATGGGCCCAGAGTATCTGAAACATGTTCCCCAGTTACTGCAATGTCAGATCAGTTGCAGAGAGCCAGCACAGGCACTGACCATATGTGTGACCCATCAGTGACCTGGGAAGAATTTACTGACCCTCCCAATCCCAGGTAGGTCAGGCCCATGTATGGTCAAAGGTGAACCAGGTGAGTCCCAGTGGAAGGGATTTCAAAACTGGGTCATGGGAAAAGGCCTAGAGTTCTCAAAGGTTGACCTCCGCCCCTCAGAGAAGTAGAGGGGGGCCTAGGGCAGGAGAGGCCCTGTCCAGCTCCAAGAGGCACATTCTAACAGTCCCTAGGATGCTGCACACCTTGTTCCTCTCCTGTCACAGAGAATCCTCCCCCCAGGCACAGCCAGGGCCTCTGCTCTCTAATAACCACCAAGAAATATTTAGGCACACCATTCACTGAGGGTCATTTTACCTGAACATTTTATACTTCATTCCCATGATGATTCCCATGAGGTGGTTCTCACTGTCCTCATTCTAGAGCTGAAGGATGGATCCTGTACAATATGTGTAAGCTATCCAAGGTCATAGGGTCACGTGGACAAACACTGACAGGGGCAGGTCTGCCCCAAGGCACAGTCTAAATCCAAAAGAGTTGGGGAAATCAGCACTTATGGTGCTCCAGGGACCTGGGGGGCAAAAGGGGAGGCAAAAACACATTAGAACTTCTATTATAAAAGCTTTAATCTTACTTCTCCTGATGTGATATTTGTTTTTATAAGCCAAATAACTCTTGTACATATTTGTTAGCTGCATGTTCAAAATTCATAACTTTAAAAGGAGGGCATGTCCGGAACTGTTTGGAAACTCCCTCTCAGAGAGGAAGGAACAACATGCACCCAGCCAGAGGGTGCTTCATGGATGCCAGATCATTCTTGGGCCAATGAAAAAGCCACACAGGCATCCTCAACCAGTTTCCTTGGCCTCTGCTGCCCCCTTGTGGCTAAAATGTGGCAGAGAGAAAGGGCAGTTCCCCCAAGAAAGAGAGAGAATATGAAGTCAGATAAGAAATCTTAAAAATGTTGGGGGCTGGGGATGTGACTTAGTGGTTAAGTTTCTGTGAGCTCAATTCCTGGTGCCAAAAAAAAAGGAAGAAAAATTTAAAGTCAACAGGATAGGGCTGGGGATACAGCTCAGTTGGTAAAGTGCTTGCCTTGCATGCACAAGGCCCTGGGTTCAATCCCCAGCACCACAAAAAAAAAAAAAAAAAAAAAGAAAGAAAGAAAAGAAAAGAAACAAACAAACAAACAAAGTCATCAGGCTAGAGGTGAAAAGACCTGAGCAGAATCCTACTTCTCACTGGATAGACCTGGGACATTCTGGCCTGCTGTAGGCCTCTGGTCCTACCTGTGAAATACAAGTAATCTGAGTGTCAATCCCTTATGGTTATTTTATATAGATAGATAGATAGATAGATAGATAGATAGATTACACGGCTTAATGCATGAAATTATTCACTTTTCTGAAGTACTAGCTCAGATTCAGATTCATTCCACAAGAGAACTGACTCACCACAGAGGGCAATACAGGGAACAAGGTCAACATTTCTGCCCCAAGTCTCCCCTCAAATTAGTCTACCCACATTACCCCACTCCCACTGCTCCCCTGAGAACAGGGAGGATGAAGATCTCCCCTCTTCCTGGATAGCCCCAAACACACAACTGCAAAAGGCCCCAGCCAGACCTGGTTCTGCCCTTTCCCCAAACCAAAAGCTTTTCCTCTTCTCCCCTCCCCTTTGGTCCTCACATTCCCCTACTGATAGGCTGTAGGACACAATCTCTACACAAACTTGTTCAGAGAGCATTTATTAACAGCCAGCTGCATGTATCTGGAACAACAACAGAAAGAAAAACAAAGTCCTTTGCCTTGAGCAGTTATGATCTAGTTAACTAACAGGACCCGTGGTAAAGTGGAGAAAATTACACAGCAACATAGATAAGAAATGCAGGCTCCCAGATACACCTAAGACAGGATACACCTAAGATAAGGTACACCTAAGGTAAGCCCAGGTCAGAGGAGCTGGAGAAGCACCCTCAGTTTTCTGGCTCTGACCCTGGGGAAATCGAATTCTCTGGGAATGGGAACAAAGCTGAAAATGTCACCAGGAAAACACCCTTTTGAACCCTGAGAAACAATCCTTTTTAATAACTAGTCCTCTCTTCCAAACCAAATTATACACCTAGCCAACCATGCTGACATCTGGGACCTCCTTGGCCACTACTGTGAAACTAGATACAGACTGGAACTGAACAAAATTGGTTTTAGGCCTAAAGGATGCCATGTAGACCTGTTATTCACCCCAGACTCATTTCCACTTCATTGTAATTATCTTGCTTGGTCTGGTCCCCTTATGACCCAGATTGAAATCAGCTCAAAAAGAAAGGATCAAACAAAAGCAGCCCAGATGGGACACGGTGCTTTGAACCTGTATAATCCCAGCTACTCAGGAAGTTGAGACAGGAGGATGGTGGGTTCAAGCCAGCATTGGCAAAATAAAGAAAATAAAATAAAAGGGCTGGAAGTGTAGCTCAGTGTTAGAGCACTTGCCTAGCATGCTGAAAACTCTAGGTATGATCCTCATTACGAAAGAAAGAAAGAAAGGTCCTTATCTCCAGAATGAACCTAACCCTCTCCCCAGAAGAAGTCATGAATCATCCTCCTTCTCCTTAAATCCCAACTTTCCCTCCATATTCTTAAAAGGACTCTCTCATCTTTTGTTTGGATGGGAAGCTCATCGGAGAGTTATCTCTAGGCTTCTCTTTATTCTCCAGCCAAAGAATAAACTTTCCTTCATTTATAATCAACTCTCAGATTTGTTATTGGTTTCATAACTCAGAGAGTGAGAAAGAACCCAGTGTGGGTCAGAAATTGGAAAAAAAGGCTGCTCAGCTCCTGCCCTCTCTGAGAGACCATCTTCCTCTCTACAGAGACACTGACTCTGAAAATTGGAATCAGAGGTTCAAAGGCTGAGTGTAAGGAGGGTAGAGAGGAGAACCCTGCTGAGGACTCTGCCCT